CAAAGATCCTCCCCCCAGACGGCCTCAGAGTCCTCTAAGAAGGCACCGATACGGCCCAAGAGGTTCCACAATGGCCCGACAGGCCTCCAAGACGGCCCCAAAGAGCCTCAAGAACGCCCCATAAGGGCTCAGAAAGAGCACGAACCCACATTTCGAGCTGACCGCCCCAAGAGGCCACTGGGAGGCCCCAAGGGCCACCCAAGAGGCCCCCAAGAGGCCCCAAAGGGGCCCCAGGAAACCCCAAGAGGCCCCGCTCCTCAGAGGCTGCCTCCGCAGGCGCCCGAGAGCCCTCCGAAGAGAACCCACGAAACATGCATGAGGACTGAGACCCACTACCCAGACACGGTGGCGGGATGGGCCGCAGGCCACTCGACCTCCTTGGCACGAGGACGGAAAGCGCAACTTACTTTAACAAACTTTGTGATGGCGCGAGATCGCTGGCTTGTCCGTTCTTGCTCCTCTTACGTCCTCTCTTCCCCTCGTCCTTGTCGCAAGCCTGGGAAGTCTTGGCGTCCTTTGGGGTCGTCTGGGGAGAATCTCGGGCTGCATTCGGGCCCCCTTGAGCCGTCTGTAAGCCCTTCAGGAGAGATTGCAAGACGATGTCAGATACATGTTCTGAGCATGCGAAATTGGAGATGGATAATCTTTTGGAGAACGTCCACGGCGCTACCGTTTTGACCCGCCTGGCCATTCCAGCCCGCCTGGGCCTTTTCAGCCCGCCCGGGCCTTTGAACCCGTCTGGCCGTTTTGAACCAAATGTTTTGATCCAAATGTTCGCTTCAACCCGCATGGCCATTACGACCGCGTGACTGTTTTCATCGGCATCGCCATTTTGAGCCGCCCTGGCCGCGCTGACATCCTCGGCCGTTTTGACCCGCACGGCCGTTTTCTACCCGCCAGGCCATTTTAACGCGCCTGGCCGTTTGAACCCGCCTGGGCGTTTTGACTTGCCTGACCGCTTCAAATCGCTTGGTCACTTTCACTCGCCCAGCCGTTTTAACCCGCCTGGCCGTTTTAACCTGCCTGGCCGTCTTAACGTGCATGTTCATTCAAACCCGCCTGGCCGTTTTAACCCGCCTGGCCGTTTTCACCCGCCTGGCCGTTTCCACCCGCCTGGCCAGCCTCGCGGGCCGTATGTGAGTCTTCCAAGACGACGTCGGCAACATCTCGTTTTTGTGAGGAAGCCCCTAGCATAGCCATTTTGGGCACGAGCGATGCCAAGTCGATCTCGACAACATCTCGTTGTTTGAGGATGTCCCCAGCGAAATCGCCATTTTGGCCAAGACCGAGACCAACACGACGTCGACGACATTTCATGTTTGTGAGGATGTCCCCCAGCGAAATCGCCATTTCGGCGAAGACCGAGACCAAGACGACGTCGACGACATCTCATGTGTGTGAGGATGTCCCTCGCGAATTCCCGATTTTGGGCAAGAGCGATGTCGACAACATGGAATTTCTGTCAGAGGATGTTCCTGGCGAGATAGTATTTTGGTTGGTGGTAGTTAAGCGTCTTAGAGCCATCTTCTTGGGCTACGTTAGGGCGTCTTGAGACCTTCCGAGAGAAATCCCAAAGCATCTTGACCACTAATCCCTTCCATACACTAGATCCCTTCCCATACACTTGCCACCCCCCTCCAACTCCACCAAATTCAATTTCTTCCGTCTTACGGATCGCATGCTAAGCGCGCGTTCCGTCATCCGCCGCCCCTAATGATTCATCACAAGGGGTGCACGGCGTGCTGAACATCTGAAAATGTTTGTTTCTTTTCTTAAGAACTCCCAAGGGGGTCTCGGCCCAACCCGCCGGACACCCGGAAAATGTCTGGGTCGCAAGTCTTTCCAGCCCAAGACGCCCCTGGATGGCCTCCAAGACGGCCTAAGAGGCACCCAAGAGGTCTCCAAGACGGCCTAAGAGGCCTCCATGAGGTTTGTTCCCATACGGGGAGGAGTCTACCCTTCCCTCAACACCCACCCCCTGGACCTGGAGGAGAGAGGGGGCGGGTCGTTAGAGCGTCCAAACGGCCTCGGCGAGAAGGCAAGATCGCTGATTTTACTCAGGCTTTGGCCACATGTTGGCCTCCTGGGGTGGGGGGTGACCCTAATGTGGGAGATCCCCTCCTGTGATCTCTTCCAAGATGGCTCCAAGATGGCACCCGAGGCTCCCAAGGGTGCCCCAAGACGGCCCCAAGCGGTGCCCAGGAGGCCCAAAGAGGCCCCCAAGAGGCTCTCAAGGAACCCCTAAGAGGCGCCATGAGGCCCTCCAGAGGCACCCAAGACGTCCCAAGAGTTCTTGGCGAGAAGGTTCATCTCATTATTTGTACTCTGGTTTTGGCCACGTGTTGGCCTCCTGCAGAGGCCTTACTTATTTAGCTCCCCTCTTTTGACCGATCTCAAGGTGGCCCCCGAGGCCCCCAACGGTGGTGCTCCAAGACGGCCCCAAGAGGTGCCCAGGAGGTCCCACGAGGCGCCCAAGAGGCCCCCACGATACCCCCAACTCCCAAGAGGCTTCCAAGAGACCCCCCGGATGCCCCCCAGAGGCACGCAAGACGCCCCATGAGGCCTTGGCGGGAAGAACGACATCACTGACTTTACTTATGCTTTGGCCACATTTTTGCCTCCCAGGGGGGGCCCTAATGTAGTACGGCCCCTCCTGTGATCGATCTCTTCCAAGATGGCCCCAAGATGGCCCCCGAAGCTCTCAAGAGTGCCCCAAGAGGGCCCGAGAAGTGCCCAGGAGGCCTCAAGAGGCCCCCAAGAAGCCCCAAATATGCTCCCAAGAGGCTCCCACTACATCACCGAGAGCATCCCAAAGACCCCCAGAAGCACCCAAGAGAGGCACCGGGGACTGCCAAGAGACCCCCGAAAAACCCCAAGGGGACTCCAAGAATCTCTCGGAAGAAATCCGAAGATACCCCGAGAGGCATCCAAAAGGCTTCTGGCCTTTCTGCTCGCCCTTTTTCTTCTTCTTCTTCGTCTTTTTCTCCTCCTCCTCCTCCTCCTCCTCCTCCTCCTCCTCCTCCTCCTCCTCCTCCTCCTCCTCCTCGCGCCGCTTGGCGCCCCAATGCGCGATGACCTGCCAGAGCCTCCGAAAGACGGCGCCGAGCTCGCGGCGCAAGCAGTTCAGGTGGCACCAATGCCCCGCCACTGCCTGCACCTCTTCCCTGCTGCCCTCTGCCACGAGGAGGTGGGCCGTCAACTGGGCGCACAACGCAGCCCTGGATAGGGGGGTCCTCGCGTCGCGCGCCCGTTCCGGCCGTCAACCAGAGCGCCAAGACGTCGGCGCGCGGCGATCCACCTTCCTTTCTTTTCGCTCAACGGCACACCGCGGCAGCTGTATCGCGCCCGCGCGGAAACAGTCAATGCTCTCTCGGGGGCAGCCGCTGTGTCGACCAGCTCCGCGTAGTCCGCAGTAGACTTTGCCAACGCTCCCTCGAGGCCGATCCAGCGCGCAGCGCGGGCTCGGGTCTGCCTTTGCGGACCTCCCTCGCCTTGGGCAGCGGCGACGGGCCAAACTGCGCCCCCGTGGGTGGCATCGTGACCGCACCCAGCTGGACGGGGCCTGAAGAGCACACGCCCAAGCCCAAGTCCGCGCCGTCGAAATGAACACCGAAGGCGAAGAGCGGGGCCTGCGCGTCGGGCAGCCTGCGCTGATAGAGAGGCTTAGAAAAGGGTCCTTGAAGTCGCCGCAAGACCAGACAAGCTTCTGGTCGGG